GAAGAATGTATTGGTAAACTCCAGGAAAACAAAGAGGAGACATCATTTGTCATCTCCTCAGATTCACTTGGCCAAGCACTTATACCCGAAATTCATGGCATGCCAAAATTAGATGCCATATACATCTTTTGTGGCAACAAACAACGCCACCAAGAATGGGCAAAAAATTGGCCCAAAATTAAAGGTGTGCATACATCAATCAAGCACATCTGTGAAAAACTGGCAATGACTATAAAACAATGTGATCAAAGCCAGGTAACTATTAGTATTATTAGTGCTAGTGAAGGAGGTTCTAGCGAAAATCTCAATCAGCTAGAGCCTTCCTTCATGTATACTCAAATATTCAAGGAAATACTCCTTGATATGGAACATGGTCAAAAAGCCATTAAAGACTTGGTCACATATTGCCAAGAAAAATACAAGGGCAATACCAAAGGACTCGAGTTAATCGATGAATTTCAACGTACTTATCATCCAACATTGGCGTTATGGTGGTATACACGCCAATGCTTTACCTTCAAAATGCTCAATCGAGCATTACGAACACTCGACGGTGACATTATCATCCGAATGGGATTTTTCCTGTGTGATGTTCATCGACAAATTGAAGAATTACACAACCAACAGGTCAGTCAGTATCATGGGAAGTCCTTTTTAGTTTATAGGGGCCAAGGATTATCGCCACATGATTTCGAGAAACTCGCAAAAAACAAAGGTGGTCTCATATCTTTCAATAATTTTTTATCCACCAGTACAGATCGTGATGTCTCCTTCGCTTTTGCCGAAAGCACCTTAGAAGCAACCAATTTGGTTGGTATCCTCTTTCAAATGACCATCGATCCCACAGTCTCATCGACTCCTTTTGCCTCCATCCAGGAGGTGAGTTATTTCAAGGACGAAGAGGAAATTCTCTTCTCGATGCACACCGTCTTTCGAATTGGTGAAGTTCGAAAACCTGATAAGGAAAGTCCACTTTATCAAGTGGACCTTAAACTTACGTCTGATGATGACCAACAACTTCGTCGATTAACCGATCGTATACGAGAAGAATCTTCAGGTGGCACTGGATGGTATCGAATGGGTAAATTGCTGCTCACAATTGGTCAATTTGACAAGGCTGAAGAATTATATACAGCACTACTAGAACAGACATCCAACGACAGTGATAAAGCATCTATCTATAACCAGTTTGCATGGGTGAAAAAAGACAGAGGGGAATACGCAGACGCAGCTTCATTTCTCGAAAAATCCCTCAAAATTCAGCGTAAAACTCTTCCGGAAGATCATCCTTCATTAGCTAATATCCACAACAACATCGGTGCAGTGTATAACAAGATGGGTGGCTACTCGAAAGCACTTGAATTTTACGAAAAAGCACTTAAAATCTACGAAAAAGCTCTGCCTTCGAATCATCCCAATTTGGCTATTTCATACAACAACATCGGTCTAGTGTATAACAACATGGGTGACTACTCGAAAGCACTTGAATTTTATGAAAAAGCACATAAAATAAAAGAAAAAGCTCTGCCTCCGAATCATCCCGAATTGGCTACTTCCTACAACAATATCGGTCTCGTGTGTGATAACATGGGTGACTACTCGAAAACACTTGAATTTTACGAAAAATCACTTAAAATAAGAGAAAAAGCTCTGCCTCCAAATCATCCCGATTTGGCTACTTCCTACAACAATATCGGTGGAGCGTATGACGACATGGGTGACTACTCGAAAGCACTTGAATTTTACGAAAAAGCATATAAAATCTACGAAAAAGCTCTGCCTTCGAATCATCCTGATTTGGCTATTTCATATGTCAACATCGGTCAAGTGTATAATAATATGGGCAATTACTCCAAGGCACTTTCGTTTCTCGAAAAGGCGCTAACTATTCAACAGAAAACACTTCCGCCATCACATCCTCATATTAAAGAAACGATACGTAGAATTAACAATGTTAAAAAGGTGTAAATTTTTTCTTTTCGGTTGCTCAATAAATTTATTCACATTGCTAATCGTTTCGATTTTTCTCTGCTCATTTTGGCTTACCCGCGTGCGCGCGACAAGGGAGAGAACCCTTGTCAATGCCATAGGTACCACAGGCGGACCACGCCGGACTGGTAGGGCAATGGCCGAAGGTATATCGTATTAACGATACGGACCAACGACACATAGAGGCCTTCCCTAGCACTACACTGCTTCGCTATGGCACGAAAGTTCCTGTCCCTGTTGAATCAGACAACGTAGTTCTCTGACCTACACTCATAACTCAACTCATCTCATCTCAAAAGTACTCATACTCATACTCATAATAACTGATAGTATTTATTTTTTCTCAAAATAACTTATCTCAACTCAACTCAACTCAACTGAATATATAAAAAAAATTTTTTTCTTACTTCTCAATATTGTATAGTATCGAAACTCATCTAAAAAAAACAGAAAAAAAAGTTTTATTAAATATATAATGAATTTATTATTTACCTCATATAGAATTTAATAATATCATAATAATAATAAACCCGGGTATATAAATATATTGTAATGCATTATAATAATACAACTCGAGTGTATACTGTTTCATAATGATGTATGCATGTTTTTATATACCCTGAGATTAATTGACCGATGTTCAAAATTTTGATTGATTTTTTATCAATCATTCCACTTCTGTTTTAATTGATTTGATGATTTTTTTTCTCGTCTGACATACATCTATATTATGTCATCGTCGACGAAAAAAAATTTTCATGTTGCATATATATAGGGTGTTTTCTTTCTCCTTCACATTGCTCGTCTTCAAATAAGAATACAAGACAAGAGAATTCGTCAACTCGAGTAACTTAAAAAATAGGTGTGTTTTGTTTTTACAGAATGTGATCGTTATTTTAAGAATGTCTGAAATATATACATGTCTAAATTATATAGAATAAGATAGTGTTTGTCTCTCTACTGAACAATATATTTTTTATTGGACGTCTTCATTATCTTCAATATATATGTATTTGAGAAATTTTTGCTTAAACTTTTTTCACGTATAGTTTTTCGACTTTTCTTTAAAGAAATGTTAGTTGTGCAAAAATTGAAATTTCTACACATTTAAGATTGATGAATTTCTTTCATTTCAAATTATTTTCATTGGAATATAGTGCTTCTCGGGATTTACCTAATTTTCGTCCAAAATGTATCAACTTGTATATAACAAACTATGAATGATGTGTATTCACTTATATTGTCATATTCATCGATATAGTAACGAATATATAAACAGCTATGAATTCATCTCAAAATAGTCTCCTGATGATAGAGTATATCCTATTTGTACTCTTTAAATTTTCAAGATTTATCGATGAAAACAAAATTCATCATTATAAACATTTTGAACAAACAACTGTAATGTAAAAGTAATATTATTTCCAGATTTTTATACGAAACTATATATCAGACAAAGTATTAGTACAAAAAAGAGGCATTTTTCGTTTAGATATAATAAATGTTATTGCCTTTACATGTTCCACTTTCTTAATTGAATTATTAATGAGTATTTTGACATTGTAGAAATGAAAGTGGTAACTGTTTTTAGTTACCTGACAAAGTACTCTCTATGAAGTAATGTCATTTAATTAGAATGAAATGAAGTATTTTCTAAGAGAGACAATAATGATAGCAGTAGAGCATTTAATGAATGTCTTCATGTATTTCTCATTATATTTCTCTTGTATAAAAATTATTCGACAGATACAACAATTTCATTTTATTTTCAGTGTAGATATTTAAGTTTCTATAAAAAATTCGATGTTGGTTTTTTATTAGAAAATGATTAAACTATAGTTGCTTGAGAAATTATATATTTTGTTTTTATTCAGATCTCCCATCATACAGTTGTTGGCGTATTCTGTATTTCGATTATAGGTATAGAGTGAGGCGTTACACTAAAAAAAAAAGAAAACATGCTGAATAGCTTATTGGAATATTTTCTCGTTAAGGATAAATTCATATTCTGACGAATATTCGTTTTCTATGATTTTCTAAAGATAATTGATATTTTTATCGAGTATTTGTGAGATATAGAGTTTTATTGTGAGTTCATTGAAAAATATCTCAGAATTTTCATAAATAAAATTATGTATAGATTAATTATTTGAGTCTATAAAAGAAATCTCAGTAGTAATAATAAATAAATTAATGAATCACATTTTTTTTTCTCATTAGACATATATACATAGTTTTTTGTTATGCTTGAAAGTATAAGTGAATCTATGAGACATAGAACAGATTTAAAGAAAATTGCAAACCTCTTTCGAGTAAATGATATCGTCCTTATAATTTTTATGAGAAATTTCTACTAATAAAAAGGCTTTTAATAAAAGATTTTTTGTAAAGTTAAACAACGAATCTTTTGGTAAAATCCACAAATAGACGAATTCTGCATCAGTATTTCAGTGAATGTTGTTTTAATATTAACCTCTTTATATATCTTGTTGAGTCTGACACTACACTGTTATTCTTCAACATGAATATAGACAATTTATTAGTAACAAAAATATCAGTTTGAATAAAAGATTCTAGTTTTTTTGCTTTTTACTTATGAAATAGGAACAATGTTTGACCTTTTTACTGTTAGAAAAGAATAATTGAGAAAGTTCGTTTACAGGAAAAAATACATTTCGATTAGAGATTTTAAACTTGTAATTTTTGTATAATTATGACCTGATAAATACTGTTGAAAGTTGTGTGTACATTTTTTTTAGAATGAATCGAATGAATCATTTATTGCTTTTGCTCGAAAGCAATCTTTTTACTTTTCTTCTTTATCTATATTTTATTTTATTTAATATTTAATTGTAATACAGAAGATAATAGAGGGGTGTGAATCTGATGAGCTCTTCTTGTTAGCTCATACCTAAATGCTTTAAGGATTTAGTAGATGCGTTCATTGAATATTAAAAGATTTATCTCATTGAATTAGTTTTTTTTATTAGAATTTTTTTTCTTTTACTTTTCTACTAATATTTTTGTTTATCAATGAGAATTTTGATAAAAGTTAATAGACGAATCAATTGGATACATTAAATTTGTATCAATTAATATTATACGGTTTTTACCATTTATATAAGCCGAATCAATAGTAAAAAAAATAGAATGGATGATTACGAAGATGATATAAAAATTCAATTATGTATTATAGAAAGCTTTTACGGAGGAATAATTTTAATTTAGACATATATATGTACTGATCTGTCATAAACTTCTCTTTTTGTATAGCTTATATTGTATACATTTTTCTCTGACGAAAATCACACAGCTCATTTAATAATAAAATTCAATACTGTTATTTTTGTTTTTTTTCTACTGTATAACAATCATATTTTGATTTATGTAATCTAACATATGAACACAAATGATGTTGTTGAACATTGAAATCAAGTTCAACATGCTCTTGAAATAAGTGTTTACGGAGATTATTGATATTGAAGTGAGGAACGTATTTATACGTTCAATCTCATTCACTCATTATTCCTAAAAACACTCAACATTTTTTCATGGATCACATATTAATGTCATAAGTGTAGAGTTTTTGTGATATAAGTGCTAGAACAATGCATCAAAGGTATGAGATTTCTTCGAAACACTTCGAAAAAGACAAATTTCCAAATGATAAATCAATTACGAAAATAGCTAAGAATTCATTCGAAAGGCTTTTGTTCCATAAAAGTCAAAAATAAATATATTGATAACTATTCTTATATGACATTGAAAATAATTCATCATTTTACATCATTGAAAAAACCGTAGCTTCCTAATTGCGGCCAAAAATTAAGCCAATTAACACATAAGTGGCCGCAATTTGGAACACAGAATTTTACGTTGATCTCATTTTTTACGTGTTTCCAAATTGCGGCTACTTTTTAGTTATCAAATAATCAACAGTTTGAATTGAAAAAAATATTTAATGAAAAAATAAATAACAAAAAAAATTATTCTTCATCACTACTATCTTTAGCATCTTTTATCACATGAATATAGCGATAAGAAACAGATCGTAAAGTTTTTTGGTAGGCGTCGAAATCTTCATCTTGAATATATTTTGTTTTTGCTAACATAAGTTTAATCGATATAAGTAATTCTTATATAAAATGGCTTTTTCACCTTTTTCGGTTGTTGACCAAGTAAAGTTTGTATTCATAGTTTGATATGTAGTATGATTTTTTATTTTCAAGATTTTATGTCATATATATATACATATTATAGATCCAACAGAACTCATAATCTACTCTTTCTATAACTAGTTAATCAAAAGTAGCCGCAATTTGGAAACACATAAAAAATGAGACCAACAAAAAATTCTGTGTTCCGAATTGCGGCTACTTATGTGTTAATTGGCTTAATTTTTGGCCGCAATTTGGATATAGCCGAAAAAACAATTTTTTTGTTTCATCGAAATAGTTTCGTTATTGATCTGAATTAGATTTACTTCAATAAAAAATACAGTTATGTGTTGAAACTTTTTCAAATTCATAATACATATAGTTAGTTTCTCAAGAAATACCGATCAATTCCATTTTAATTTTCTACAATGAGAAAATATTTTTCGATTTTATCTTCTAATATTATTTATTGAAACATTTTCGAATAGAAACAATAGGATATTCTAGATCGTTTTTTCTCTGTAATCGATTTAGACACGTTAAGTATATCAAATAGACCACAAAGTAAGGCGGAATACAAGTAATAATGAGTAAATTATGAGCTAAGGTATAGATTGTTGCTGTCTATGAAAACAAGCTTACCTACACGCACATCTTCATTATTCTGTTGTCTTAATTTTTGGTTTGAAGGAAATTGACATACTAAACTTGCATTATAATCTTTACTGAGTAGAGTTCTAGAACAAATGACAACATCAATGCAATTTTAATCATACAACTTTCAGCACCACTCAAAACTCCTTTACAAATATAACTCTAAAA